TCCACGCGCCGCGAGGGTCTCCATCGAGCTATTCCCCTGCGGGTGCGACATTAGTGTCCCGTGGAATTCGAACGCGCTCTGGCCCCGGCTCGGCCATTGCCAATTCGATAAGACACGCGTGGGGCACGTTGCTTCGTTCAACTATGGTGGAGGAAGTCGACCCTGGGGAAGTGGAGGGCACTGATCTTCGCGTCCTCAAGTATCCAGACCCTCGCCTCCGTGCAGCCAACGCGGAAATCACTGAGTTTGGTCCGGAAGTGGCCGCTCTCGCCAAGGACATGTTTAAAGTCATGTACGCGATGAATGGTGTAGGGCTGGCGGCTCCTCAGGTGGGGGTCAACCAGCGGCTGATGGTATTCAATCCCCAAGGGGACAGGCTCAAGTGGCTGAACGAGGTCATCCTCTGCAATCCTGTGATCGTGGAGAAGTCGGGCAAGACGAACATAATGGAGGAAGGGTGCCTTTCTTTTCCGGGCATGGCTGGCGATGTACGGTTTGGGCTGACCAGGGAGGGACTAAGGGATACAGGATCCTGTGTTGAGAGAGGAACGCTTTTTCTAACATTGAATCTACTCTCTTGCATGATCTTTACGCAGGTTGAGCGCTCTTTGACCATCAAGGTGACGTTTCAGAACGCTAAAGGAAAGAAGTTTACCAAGAAGTTTCGTGACTGGGAGGCTCGCATCTTCCAGCATGAGTATGACCACCTGGATGGCGTGCTCTACATGGACCGGCTTGTGCCGGAATCCAAACAGAAGGTATGCCAAGCACGCTTGAGGTCGAGCGGGAGAGTTGAAGCTAGCAATGTACTGGCACGTGACGGCATGGAAAGCGGTTTGTCGTAAATTCGATGTTTCCGCAGATCTCTGTTTGGAAGACAAACCAGGGAATTTTGAAAAATCAAAATGCCTTCTACACACACAGGTGCAGCCAGTGCTGGACAAGCTGGTTAGTGACTTCGGACCGGGCGGTGCATTGTGAATATAGTATGGCAGGGGGATAGGGGAGGTCGAGGAAGAGATGCAATGCAGTGCGCAGGCAATTTTTTCAAAAACGGACCACCACGCCCAATTTAAATGCAACTCAATTATTTCAGTAAGGACTTTTGAACTGAATTGACGGATGCCATTTGTCGTCGCATTTGTGTTGGGTCCTTTTGCGTTCTTGCGCCCTTCCTTTTCCCCCCCAGTCAAGTCATGCTGCAGAATTAGATGGGCCACACGCACACAGGCTGCGTCCTAACAATTCTCATACAAGTGAAGAAGTGCCATTGGACTGAAACTATAGCGCGATACACATCTCTGCATTGAAAACTCGTGTAAAAGTAACCTTTACTGTAGGAAAGGGTGCGCACCCACAGCATTCATTTCCAATGCACTCTCCCATCTTCCCTCACTCTTCAAAGGCCACCTCTTTCTTCACTTAACCGCAAACGGCTACCTGGAGGAAATTTTTCTCGTCTTTCTATTCGCTTTATGCTTCTCCCTTTATCAAACCTTGGTCGCCGTCCAGTTCTAGCTTTACAACGTCACATCGGCACGTATCCCGCAAAGTTCACAACCGGCGCGTCACCTGCAAGACGAGAGATGCATTTCGAGACGCTAACCATCGAAACAAATCGCAGTGACGCACCAGGCGTGGCTTTCGTCACAATTAATCGCCCACGCAAGCGTAATGCGATGAATAGTAAGTTTTGGGGAGAGTGCAAAGAAGTCTTTGACACGCTGGGGGAGGAGGGAGAAGTGCGCGCGGTGGTACTGGCGGGAGCGGGCAAGGTGTTCACCTCCGGCTTAGACTTGTCAGACATCGGCATCGACTTAATGGGTGGAAGTGGCAGTGGCAGTGACGGAGAAAGCGTCGACGTGGCCCGGCAGGCCTTCAAAATCAAGAGACATGTCACACGCATGCAAGAAGCCTTCAACGCCATCGAACGCATCCCTCAACCCGTGGTGGCGGCCATTCACGGGGCATGTATCGGTGGGGGAATCGACTTGATAGCTGCATGTGACATACGGTACGCCTGTGCAGAGACAATTTTTAGCATCAAGGAGGTGGACATCGGCCTGGCGGCAGACTTAGGCACCCTGCAGAGGCTTCCGCGCGTGACCGGCAACGAAAGCTTGCTGCGAGAGCTCGCTTTCACAGGACGCAATTTTTCGAGTGCCGAAGGACAGGCATTAGGCTTGCTTAGCTCTGTCCTGCCCTCACCCGCGGAGACATTGGCGAGAGCGACGGGTCTCGCCATGGAGATCGCACGCAAAAGCCCAGTGGCCGTCGCAGGCACAAAGGCCAATTTGCTGTACTCTCGGGACCACAGCGTCCAGGATGGACTGAATTACATGACAACCTGGAACATGGCCGCATTGCAGAGCGAAGATATCGGCAAGGCGGTCCAAGGGGCGATGCTGAAGGAAACACCGACGTTCTCGAAGTTGTGAGGGGAGGGATTGGGAAGCGCGGCGCCAAGAAAAAGAGACGAGAAGTTGAACGTTGAGACAAGAAGTTACGCACCGCAAATTGTATTTCTCCTTCGATATTTCGCCCAATTTTTTGGGGCGTCTTAAATGATCAGATGCTTTCCGGGACAAAACGGAGCCTCCGGGATCCAAGGCATGCCCTCGCAGTCGACAAACAGCCTACACTCTCCCTCAGCGTGCCTTTCCATCGCTCCTTTCCTTCGCGTGCTATGCCCCTCAATCCCCCTCCCCCCTTCCTGTACATGTCTGTACATGACATCTTCCTCCCCGTTGCCTAGGATTAAAAGACTGTGCTTTGACCTATATTGCATTCTTAATCCCTTCCTCCTCTTCCTTTGCCCCGCATTCTTTTCCTTTCCAATCAGCCCTGGCCTCCAACAACGTCATCCTCCACAGAGACCGTTCCCTGCCGCTCCACTTCTGCAGCCTGCAAGCACCTGGGCCCGAAGAGACGCCTGCCCCCCCATTCCCATCTCACCCTGCCACCGCAGTCTCTTTGAAGCCCGCGCAGGCCCGGTCTACCTTCTCCCGGTTTGTCCTGCCTACGATCTCCGCCACGGCCCTGACCGTCCGGGCGATGTCCTCCTCGGTCACCATCAGGTTCGTGACGGCGCGGAGCCTGTCTCCTCGATAGGCCCCAATGCCCAAAAGGACGTTGTACTGCTCCTTCAAACGCCGCACCACCTCCCCCGCGGGCAGGCCCAGGACGCGGAAGTAGACGATGTTGGTGGAGACGAAAGATGGGTCGCAAACGACGCCTGGGATCTGGCTGAAGCCCGTGGCCAAGGCCTGCGCGTTGTGATGGTCTCGCTCGAGCATGGGTACATTGTGCTCCAGAGCGTACAACCCCGCAGCTGCCAGAGACCCCGCCTGCCGCCAGCCACCCCCCAGGACTTTTCTTTGGCGCTTCGCCTCCTTAATGATTGCGTGCGTGCCCACCAGCACGGAGCCGATTGGTGCGCCCAGGCCCTTGCTCAGACAAAGGGAGACGGAGTCCGCCTCCCGCACGATCTCCGAGGCGGGCATCTCCAGGGCCACGGAGGCGTTCATCAAACGCGCCCCATCCACGTGGAAGACGAGCTGGTGCTCGCGACAAAGTGCACCTACCTCTGCCATGAAGGACGGCGGCAAGGGCGACCCATTTGCCTTGTTGTGCGTGGTCTCCACGGCTACTAAGGAGGTGCGCGCGAAGTGGAAATCGTCGTCACGGATGGCCTCGCGCAGGTCGCTCAAGCGGTTAGTCCCATCCCCTAACGTGGCGACCGGATGAAAGGCCACGCCGAGGAGGGCCGACGCACCCCCTCCTTCGTAGTTGTAAATGTGGTTCTGGTGCCCCAGGAGGATCTCGTCCCCACGCTTGCAGTGCGCCGCCAAGGCCAGCAGATTCGTCATCGTGCCCGACGCCGCGAACATGCCAGCTTCTTTTCCGAGGAGCCCAGCCACTGCCTCCTCCAGACGCTGCACAGTTTTGTCCTCGTTGTAACAGACGTCACCTACCTCGGCATTATACATGGCTTTGCGCATCCCGTCGCATGGACGCGTGAAGGTGTCGGAGCGAAGCTCAACTGTACGGTACACAAGGACTGAACGCATAAGGAACCAATGCAACCAAAAAAGCCCTTTTTGAAATCCCAAAATGTCCTTCTGTCGGCTTAAAAAGTCTTTTTTTGCAAGTCGACGCTCTGACACAGGTCTCAAGCAAAGGGCGGAGTTTTGAGGGGATATGGCCTAGCGTCCGCACGCATGGCAGCAAAGACAATAGGAGTCCACTCACCAGGTTTTCTAAACTCATTTTTGGACGACGTCAAGCTTCGTCGGAAGGTGGTCCGCAAACCCCAAATACCGCAGGAATTTCCCGTGCGGCGAAAAGCGAACGCCATCTTAGGACTCCTCCTGTCAAGAAATGTAGTCAACATGTCGGAGCGAAAAGTATGGCAGTCCACGGGTAAACAAGCACACAGTTGACCGCCCGACAATCGCTGTGTAAATCACTGATTCATCCCCCATGAGAGGCAAAACTTTATAAATTGCTGGCAAAGGGTTGGAGCTGGCCATCCTGGCACGGAAGTTACGACCCTCCCCCCTGCAGGGAAAGTGGTACGTCACACGCTTGAAGAAAAGAAATTCCTGACTCGAGCCTCAAAAGACAGTGAGGGCCACGTAATGCCTTTTCTTCGCATATATGTGCATGCTTGATGCCCTACATAGAGGTGGACAAGCTTATCGTGTGGTGCCCCTCTCATGCACGAGAATGCGTGCGCATGAAGTTTTCGTATGTTGAAATGACTCGCCCCACTCGTTCTACTTTTCCAAAGGCGCATAATCACACGAAAGAGGAGAAGACCTTGTACCACACAAAAAATTAGACGCCTTCGAATATGCGAGACTGAAAAGGATGAATGTTTCCTCTTGTAATGTGAAAGAGTCAAGATGCCGTTCCACTCGGGAGGACGAAAAACCAATGATATGTGTAAGATTTTAGTAAGTCATTTGTTTCTCAGCAACAAAATATGAATGATCGAGCTAGGAACCAGTAAAGCATGCCAAGCCTTCGTTTGCCCATATGTGTGATCGTTCCCTGGGCCATTCTCCTCTACGGGCAATGCAGCAAGTTGCGCTATTGCTTTTTTTCTTTAAGGCACACAGATCTAGATAGAGTACCCCTGTACATGTCATCTTTCATAATATCACCCTCCCCTCTGAAGCTTGTGCACGATCCACTACGTCGAATCATAGGCTATCCAGGAAAGGTTGTATGATCCTGTATCCGTAACTCGGCAGACTATCAAGCTACTCCACCTTGGTCTTCGATTCAAGTGCCAAATGCCACCTTGCTCTTACTATCAAGCTCCAAACAAGCGCTGGTGGAAACGGTGCAAGGGCAATCCACCATCCCTTTACAGATGAGACCTCGAAGACAAGCGACGATACCGCCAGGGCCAGACACAGAAGAGAGGCGATAAAATACGATCCCGCCACGAAATCGTAATTGATGGAGGGTGAAGGTTCAAGAACGGAGGATATAAGCGGAATCATAGCTGCCTTAATGTTGGCGTTGAGATTTTGGCAGCTGTAATCAATGTGGGAAAAGGGGGCCCGTCAGGATGGGCAAAAGGCCCTGGATGGGAGGTGGATGATGACAAAAATAGACTTGAGGTCCATACATCCCATCTGCAATGCCAAAACGCGATAACATGACCAACCTGAAACGTATTTTGTAAAACGAAACTCCTATTTCGTCGATATTGTTGTCCGGACTGAGATGAAAAAAGCCCTCGTTTCGTTGGAAAGTTGTTGGAGCATGTAACAGCGCTAAACAGAGCTCATCACCGTGTTTCAGTGATCATGCGGCATCCATAATGTAATGACTTTGTACATAGAAAAATAGGCAAATCACAAACGCTACGTGTATCACGCGAAGTCTTGCACGCGGAAGTTCTTTTCTCCAAGCATGGACCCCAGAGCCCAGGTCCCTGCTGCAGCTTTCGCGCAATTTTTTGTCTTCCTCGCCGAGGGCGTCAGCGGTCTCGCGGCTCCGAGTCACGCCAGGCCTATGGGAGGCCATCCCGATGCGCAGGCAGCAAGCTCGTGACAGGCGCCCGCAACAGCTGTCTTTCTATGTCCCCCTCCCACGCCCTGACTCCGGGCACCGCTTGGGCACCGACTCCGAGGTTGGCCGGGCTTCTGGAGTGCCGGCGGTAGGTGTCTGTGACTTGTGTAGCGGATGCAGTGATGTCTATTTCTATCGTCGCGTCCACTGCGCCCCCTCGCACTTTCTTCGAGGACAACGTCAGACATGCCGCCTCAAAGATTTTGTTCTGATTCCGCGTAATCAAGCTTGAGGACTGCACACCATCCCTTCCCACGGGCCAAAGCAATTTGCGCTTTTATGATGCATGCATCTTTTGTGTCAATGATATGTCTTGCACAACAATGTCATGGCACAGGCAACGTCGACCACTTCATATAAGCTGCCGGGGCTACCAACATCCAAGTCCATCTTAAACAGCAAGAAGAGATACGACGTCGGCCATCAGGAAACTGGGTCGCTGCTCGAGCCAAGACCAAGTAGGGGGGAGAGGCGGGCTGTCATCGGCACGACGGCGTCTTCATTTGCAGCATGGAAGCAGATTTTGTGCGTAACTCGAGAGACGATTCAATTTCATGACCTTCCGACTCACGCCGCTCAATATTCCTGCGTGCTCTCATATGTTTTTGGTCCACCACAGGGTCGTTCGTCTCTAGTCAACTCTTCCAATATGCCGGGCAATGTAATGGTAAGCAAGAGGAAGGTGCCGAAACGGAGCGGGTTTTCAGCAAACCTGAGGAGAAGAAGTAAAACGTAGAGCTGAACTCTGATCGTTACATTTCGGTCCGCACATCAACAGTCGCAGCCCTCAAATGGCGGATGGCCGACCTCGAATCATGCGGTGAGTGTATACGCGGCAGAGCAGGGGTGCGGGTGCGGTTAGAGCGTCACGATTCGAAGCGTTTCTCCAGGCATGCATCCCGAGATATGAGCCTCGAGCGTGTTCCTCACGGCCTCATCCTACTTACCAATGGCACCGCCAACGTTCTCTTTGTATTGCGGGGCCTGCCAATCTCACCATGTTGGGCTTTCGGCCTTGCTTTTGAATGCGCAGAAAGCATCCATGTTGCTCACGGACCCCTCCTCGCCCGCCCTTGACTCGCCTCTTTCCCTGCCAGTACGCGTCTACCTCCATCCCTCAGGGTCCTCCCACCCATGCCCATACTGCGCCCCCTCTTCAGCCAACATTAGCCTATTCGCGCTGGCTCTATGAAGGCGGAGCGGGGACAGGCGCTGCGCCCAGCCTTCCATATCCACAGCAACATCAACCACCATCGCAGCCACCGCCACCGCCGCAGCAGACTGGCGGAAGTTGGATCCCGGGGGCCGGGGGAGGAGAGCTGGTCAATGGGGGGGAGGAGAATAGGAGAGGCACGCGGGGGAGGAGAAGGAGGGGAAGGAGGAGCAGGAGGAACCGCGCGGCCGCAGACGTTGGGGTATTGGGGGGCTAGCATGCCCAGCGCGGGCTATAGTGGTAGTGGGGGAGGGGCGGCGAGCAAAGGGAGCGAGAGCGACTCCTCGGACGAGGGCAGCACAGCCCGTCCTGGTGGAGCCAAGGGGCGGAAGCTGCCGTCGAACGGCCGGGACTCCTCGGAGCTGGAGAAGCGCCTGAAGAAGAATGCCCGGGAGCAAAAGCGCGCGAACAAGATCAACGACCAGATCGCCATCATGAAGACGATCCTGGAGTCTGTGGGGCTCCGTCCGCCTCCCACCAAGTCCTCCATCCTCGCCGAGGGCATTCAGCTCATCCGCAGCCTGCTCGCGCAGGTCGGCCCCGAGGGCAAGGCGCCAGGCACCGAGCCCAGCCAGGCGGAGCCCTACTGGCTTCTGTTCCGGAAGTCCGCCACGCCCCTGGCCATGTGCCGGCCGGACGGGCACGGGCGCTTTCTGGACTGCAACACCCGCTTCTGCGAGGTCTTTGGGTGCACGCCCGAGGAGCTGCAGAAGGAGACGCCCCTCTCCTTCACCCGCGAGTACGACGCGGAGAACACCCAGCGGGTCCTGGCCCTGGTGAGTCAGCCTGGGCTCTTGGACGAGAGCTCTCCCCTGGAGGTGGTGCTCACCAACAAGCACCAGCAGCGCTTCCTCGTTCGCGTCTCCTCCCTCCTGGACGACTATCAGAAGCCGCGCTTCCTCCTCTTCACACCCAAGGCCATGCTCCGGGGCGTGAACGGACAGGAACCCTCCTCCGCCCCGCCCTCCTCCTTCGCCTCTGCTCCGCCCCTCCCTTCGCAGCCCGCCCCCCACCCCGCGGTTTTGACCGGCCCCGTAGCCCCGCCCCTCGTTCCCTCCCAGTCCTCCATGCCTTCCTCCGCCGCCTCCTCCTCCTCCTCGCTGGGCGCCATGCTGCCCATTCCCATCAGTCAAGCTCCCGACCCACACTTGCCGCAGATCTCCCTCCTCTCCCCGCAGGCACCGCCCACTCGCGAGCCTCGAGCCCCCCACATCCACAATCAGCCCCATCACCAGCACTACCAGCAACATCTACACCACATCCTCCAGCAGCACAACCCAGGATCGCCGCAAGACGCGCCGCCACCGCAGCAGCGGCAGCACCAAGCCTTTCCTGCCGCCGTGCAGGAGGCATCCTCCCCCTCTCCCCAGGCGGGACGCGTGGCCGAGAACGATCAGAAGCCTTCCCCTCCCCCCTCTTCCCTTCAACCTTCGTTTCCCTCCTCTTTCTACAACGGAGGCCGCGTCGGTGGTGGACCGAGCAACAGCCATTCCTCGCCCCGCTCCTCGCCCAACAACTCGTCAAGGGAGCCAGTCTCGGGCATTGTCTCCCCTTTGACCACAGGTCCTCCGCCAACACTAAAGCCGAGCGGCAAGAGTCAAGAGGCGGCTGTCTAATCGCGCGCGGAATTTGAACGAAGCCTGTGCACGGGAAGACGGACCCAAAGGCCAAAATTGAAAGAGGCACAGCTGAAAACGGAATGTTTATGAATAGGAACTCGCCTCAGGGAACCGGCTTATCGGGAATAAGACGTGACCGGGAATGGAGGCATTGTATCAAAAGATCTTGACGACACAAATACGGACTCGAAATGAGTTGACATGGCGAACGAAAGGAAATGGTAGATCCGGGGAAGGGGAAGGAGATCTATCGCTCACAGAAGCAAGCGCGTGGCGTGCTCCTGGTTGTGTACGCGAATGATATGTGTGGGCCGGAATTAGTGCCCTTGTATGTGCGTGTGTGGCGGTTGGCACAAGCAAAGCGCCTACAACAGCCATAACGAAACGCAGACGGCGAGGCCGAGCTACCCCGTTCGTTCTTGCACTTTTGTCGACGTGACGTCACTGTCTCCCCCCGACGTTTACCCTGGCGAGCCTCCCAGCCGCCAAGCCCCCACCAGGTTCAGGGCATTGGGGTCCGCCCTTCCTTTGTGCATTCCCCTCTTACTCCCACACTCTCCTCCCTTTCCTCGCTCTCGTCCCCTTCCCACCTCGCGGCGTCACGCACCCGCCTCCCCGCCTTCTCCCACGCCCCCACCCCGCCTTCCGCCTCCATCAAAGCAAACAGCTCCTCTGACGTGGCGTCGGTGGGCACGCGCCCTTCCACCATCCCCACCGCCAGTCCCCGCTGCACATTTCCCACCTGTTTGCCTGGCTTCAGTCGGAAACGGATGATCAAATCCGTCGCGAACCGTTGCGGCATCCACCTCCGATAACTCCTGAGGATTTCCTTCTCCAGCGCGCCGACCTTGTCTTCCCCCGCCCCTCCCAGCGACATCTCCCCCTCTGCTCCTTCCCTCTTCATCCAAGTCGCCATACTCTGGCGCCGAAAGAGCTCCCGGGCGGCTTTGGCCTCCTCTAACTTTGCCATGCTTTCCCTCCACTGCCGGAACTTTTTCGACAGGGCCGCCTCCACTTCCTCGTCAATCAAGAAGGCACGGGCGTACCGCCGCCACTCCTCCAGCAGCTCCGGCGTCCACGCTCCGGTGATTTCGGTCAAAATCCTCTCCCGCTCGAAAATGTCCGCCCTCTGCCCCGCCTCTTTGGAGAGCAACGCGTACACTTGCGGACAGTTTGCGGCAGCCATTTCCGCGGCGGTGGGTAGGTCGGCTTCGTCCATCACCACCGGGTTCTTACTCTTCCTGCCGAAGGTGATGTGCCGGAGGAAGAGACCCTCTGCGGGAGCGAGGGGAGAGTAAATGAGGTAGGGAGAGTCGAGAGCCATGGGCAAGGCCGCTTCTGGGAACAAGCCGGAGGCCACAGCGATGGCCCCGCCTACCAGGAGGCGGATCTGGTTGTAGAGGAAGGAGGAGCCGTGAAAGGTCACGGCCACGAAGTCCTTGCCCCCCACCTGCAGGGCTCGGCCCTCGCATCGGTAGATGTTGGTGCGGACCATCTTGAGGACCCCCTGGTAGCGGGTTAGGTCCCACAAGGCCGTCGTCACCCCGTCCGCCGGGTCCCCGATCGCCACGTGCTCCACCCGTAGATCGTCTTTCTGCCGCCCGCCCTCGCCCCCTGCCCCGACCCACCCT